TCAACTGAGGAATGGATAACCAAACTATGGTACATACACACAATGGAATACTATGCAACGCTAAAGAATAATGTAGAATCTGCAAAACACCGCATAATGTGGATGAACTTGGAGGATATTACGCTGAGTGAAATAAGTCAATCACAAAAGGACAAATATTATATTAGTCCATTATTGTAATAGTCAAGGAAATGCTTATCTATGGAAGGTCATTTGTTGGTTACTAGGGGTGGGAGGGGAGGGGAGGGAATACTGTTAGATAGATAGAGATAAGTTTTGATTTGGGTGAAGAAAAGCACAATGTACCAAATGTGAGTGATCAATATAGTGGCATTGAGGAAGAGAAAGAGAGAGGTACATGGGCAGTACAGACAACAAAGATGAACCCTTTTTCACATATAGTACAGCATGCTCAGTGAAGGCAAACACGGGTATATGGGTGGACAGGCTGAAATGTTAGGTATCTATATGAAGTGGAGAGTGCACCCAAGAACATGTATAGGGTTGGCAGACAGTGGTCCAATAACTTTATGTGTATGATCTGAATTGCCAGGTGTATAATGGGGCTGACAAGGGGCAAGGTTGTAGTCACTGCTTGGTCACAGCCAGCTACCCAGAGGGACCGAGTAGTTGAACCTGTGGGCTCGGGACCAGAGTCGCAGAGGACATCAAGCTCAATTGGCATAACATACTACACAAATCATTGTTCCACCTGCTACTGTGGTGAGTAGCGATTGAGATCTTAAAAGCCTGCAAGCTGCCATCTAGATGCAATGATGTGTCTCTCCTCATCCAGGCCAAGAAGAATGAAGAAAACCAAAAATTCATGGAAACAATCAGTCCTAGCGACTGGTACACCATCCGATCTGCAGCCTATATGTCTGTGAGACCAGAAGAAATAGACAGTGCTCGGCTACTAATGTCAACCACTTGGAAGAGGATCTTTGTAGAAGATCCTGGATAGACAGGGGGAACAATTTGGAACAAAACTCAAAATCATTTGAAAAGAAAAAACAAGCAGGGAACAGGTTTGCTTGCCCAGTGGAACCACTGAGACTATGGCCCCTAGCTGCCCTTCAGGTCTGTCCAGCCAAGCAGTAGACAGGCATACTAGTTGATCATTTACCTGAGGTAGATACCCTCCTTGGAGAGAACAAGCAAGCAAGAAAGAAGGGCTGTTCAGGCACAGGGAGACAGCTCAGGGGGTAGGAGTACATGGAGGGATGGACACAGGGAAGCAGTACCTATTGGGAGGAAGTGGGAGAGATGTTGCATCATGCTAAATTGTGGTCAGTGTCATAAGACAAAGTGTATGTGATCTGTATGGAAAGTGTATTTGCTCTGTAAATTTTCACCCAATTAATTAATTAATTAAAACCAACCGGGGGGGGGGGAAGGAAAGAAATAGACTATGTCATTCTAAAATTTATATGGAAATGGAAGGGACTCAATAGCAAAAACAATTTGAAAAATGAAAAAAGTTGGAGGATTTACACTTTCCAGTTTCAAAATGTACTATAAAGCTACAGAAACCAAGATAATGTGGAACTGGATAAATATACTATAGATCAATGAAATAAAATTGAGCGTTCAGAACTAAACCTTGTATTTACAATTAATTCATTTTTGACAGCAGTACCAAAAATTAAATGGGAGGAAGAATAATCTTTTCAATAAATGGTACAGCAGGATGTACACAAGGAAAAGAATGAATTTGGGACCCTTGCCTCATACCATGTAAAAAAAGTAACTCAAAATGGGTTGACAACTTCAATAAACCAAAAAAAAAAGAAAACTCACTGCCATCAGGTTGATTCTGAGTCATAGTGACCCCCTTTGGGTTCAGTAAATCTTTACGGAAGTAGATTGCCCAGTCTTCCGCGTAGTGGCTGGTGGGTTTGAACCACCAACCTTCTGGTTAACAGTCAAATGCACCAGAGCTCCTTGAAGACTTCAGTATAAGAGTTAAATTTGTAAACTCCTAGAAGAAAACACAGAAAATCTTTGTGATCAGCAGTTTCTTAGTTATGACACCAAATGCGCAAGTAACAGAAGAAAAAAAAAATAGATAAATTCAACTTCATCAAAATTAAAAACTTCTGACTTCAAAAGACACGACACCATCAAGAAAGTGAAAATACAACACACTGAACAAGAGAAAATATTTACAAATAATGTGTCTGATAAGGGACTTGTGTCTAGAATATATAAAGGACTCATATAACTAAAAAGAAATCCATTTAATATACGTAAAGGCTATAAATAGACATTTCTTCATAGAAGATATACAGATAACCAGCAAGCACATGAAAAGATGCATCACACGTTAGTCATTAGAGAAATTCATATTAAAACTACATGTTGTAATACCACTTCACATCTACTGTGGTAACTAAAAACTTAATAAAAAAGTGTTGGCTAGGCTGTGGAGAAATTACGGCCCTCCTACATTGCTACCAAAAAATTCAAACTCACTGCTATCTAGTCGATTCTGACTCATAGTGACCCTTGGTTTCCAAGGAGGTAAATATTTATGGAAGTACAATGCCCAATCTTCCTACCGTAGAGTGGCTGGTGGGTTTGAACTCCCAACCTTCTGTTTAGCAGTCAAGTGCCTCAGGTACTACACCACTAGAGCTCCCCCATGCATTGCTAGTGGGATTCAAAAATGATTCAGCCACTTTGACAACAATTTGATGCTTCCTCAGAATGTTAAACACAGAGTTACCATATGACCCAGCAATTCTACTCTCAGGTTCATATCCAGGAGAACACAGCCACACAAAAACAGGTTCATGAATGTTCATAGCAGCATTTTTCATAATAGCTATTGTTGTTGTTGTTGTTATGTGCTGTCGAGTCGGCCCCGACTCATAGCGACCCCTCCTTGGGTTTCCGAGGCAGTATCACTACGGAAGTAGGATTGCCCAACCTTCCTTCCGAGGAGTGGCTGGTGGGTTTGAACCGCCAGCCGTCTGGTTAGCAGGCAAGTGTCTTAGCCACTATGCTACCAGAGCTAGTAAGTGCTAAAACCACAAATGTCCGTCTGTTGATGAATGGATAAGCAAAAAGTGGTATATTCCACACAATGAAATATCATTCAGCAATATAAGGAAATGAAGTACTGATACATGCTGTAACAAGAATGAACCTTAAAAACATTATGTTGACAATAGAGCCTGGTGGAACCACTGAGACTATGGCCCCTAGCTACCCTTCAGGTCTGGAATTGAGACCACATCTGTGGTTTCCAGCCAAGCAAAATACAGGTATGTGAGTTGAACATTTACCTCAAGTGGACACATGCCCTTGAGAGAACAATCATGGGAGAACGAAGGGCACCTTATGCACAGGGAGACAGCTTAGGGGGCAGGAGAGTATGGAGGGATGGACACTGGGAAGTGGTACCTTGGGGAGGAAATTGGAGG